GATTTACCTACTGAACTTAGATTTTACTATGAATACTTTCAAAACTGTAAACAGAAAAACATATAGCTATATAGTAACTTTTAAATAACAAATTTATTTTTTAAATTACAAATTTAAAGGTTTTCTTTTCTCCCTTTTGCTAGCCAGTTTCAGTTGGAGGGCTGATAGTAAACCTTATTGGTATCTGTGCCTTTAGCCATGCCCATAACCATACCCATGGAGCTTCTCAAGGAAGCTGTCACTCATCTGATCATAGCCATTCACACCATATGCATGGACACAGTGACCATGGGCATGGTCACAGCCACGGATCTGCTGGCAGAGGCATGAATGCTAACATGAGGGGTGAGTCCTTGTCAAATATTGTCCTACCTTTCAACTATGTTTGAATTTATAGTTTGTATTAAATATTGGGCTTCTGTACAGTTTTATTTTTGAAAAGCAATCTGTGGCTAAAAAAAGGTCTGAAGTCATCTGCTGTACTAAATGCTTATGTTTGTTCATAAATGTTAGTTTTTAAATAGATTATGGTAATTGCAGAGTCCTTTTCATAGTGATGGTTGCATAAATATTACTTGGAAGGGAAACCTTGAGTGTGCCATTATGAACTTTGACTACAAAAGAACCAGGAAATTTTTATTGTACTGTAAAAAAATATGGGGGAATGGGGCCAGCCCAGTGGCTTAGTGATTAAGTTCGCCCGCTGCGCTTTGGCGGCCTGGGGTTCGCAGGTTCGGATCCTGGGCGCGGACCTTCTCACCACTCATCAAGCCATGCTGTGGCAGCGTCCCACGTACAAAATAGAGGAAGATTGGCGCAGATGTTAGCTCAAGGACAATCTTCCTCACCAAAAAGAAATATATATATATGGGGGAAATATTTTATCACTTATTACATTGAATTATTTATTCTGATGGTTTAATATAAGTAATTTGGGTAATGTCAAAACTTGGCTCATGTATGATTTCTAGGAAACCTTCCCAGACAAACCACACCATCATGAAACTCACCACACTGTTATAGTTGCCCACATCCTTACCTTTTTACCACTATGCTATGAATTCCTTGAGGGCATTTGAAGTACCAGCCCCAAGCAGAGTGCCAGGTACATAGTAGCTACCCAGTAATATTTGTAGAATGGATAAAAGAACTAAATTAGATGTGCTTTAATTTTTAATGTTTTTATATATTTTATTTTTAGGTGTATTTCTACATGTTTTGGCAGACACACTTGGCAGTATTGGTGTGATTGTATCCACAATTCTTATAGAGCAGTTTGGATGGTTCATTGCTGATCCCCTCTGTTCTCTTTTTATTGCTGTATTAATATTTCTCAGTGTTGTTCCACTGATTAAAGATGCCTGTCAGGTTCTACTTCTGAGACTGCCACCAGAATATGAAAAAGAACTACATATTGCTTTAGAAAAGGTATTATGTGTAATTCACTATTTTTTTCCTTTTAAAATAGTATTTGAAATTATATAAGTTGACCTAATAAGAAATGTGAAAGATATGAATGAAGAAAATACAGTTTTACTTAAAGGACATAAAATAGGGACAATAAATAGAGATATTCTCTTGGATGGGAAACTGTATTGTGAAGATATTGCTTCTCTTTCATTTAAATCTCAATGCAGTTACCTCTCATTGCAATTGTTTTGTTTTGTTTGTTTTTGTTTTGGGAGAGGATAGCCAATCTAGTATTACTTGGAAGCTTATTTGGAGGACTTAATGCTTGAGAATAAACAAAAAAAATACATAAGTTTAACTAATTAATAAGATCCTATTTTGTGATTATAAAGTTACAGAATTAACTAACAAAACTAATAGTTTTGTCCTTGGACAAGAATAAACACATAAATAAATTTCAGAAAAAATAGGTTGTCCAGAAACAGACCCGGGAACTTATGGAATTCAGCATTTAGCAGAGATAGCATTTCACATCAGTGGGGAGAAAGGGTTGACCTAATGAACATTTCCACTTGATGAAAAAGAAAAGCTGTATCTCTATACCGTACCATATAAAAATATATTTCCACTGGATTAACTATGTAAATGACCAATTATAAAACTGCTAAAATAAAGTAGAATAATATTTTTAGAGTCACAGAGGTAGGGAAAGTCTTTTTAATAAGGTTGAAGTGAAACCAGAAGCCAGAAAGGGAGGAAAAAGAAATATGCAGATTGGACTAACCGAAAATTGTCCATTGGCAAAAGATTCCATTAACAAGTATGAAGTATAAAAGGCAGAGGAGGAGAAAATCTTTGCAGCATAGGTAAATAGGCAAAGGCTACTATCCATAATCATTTAAATCAAGAAAAAAGCAGTCTTGTAGAAAAATTGACTGATTATATAAACAGGCAATTCACAGAAAAAAACAAATAGAATGTTTTTCAGCTTGTGTTTTGCCATATATTCAAGTAATTAGGGTCTGCTGATGAAAAGTTGGCATCTTGTGTATTTAAGGTATAGCATCTTAACCCACTGTTTTGATAAATAAAATTAGTAAAATTTTCTCACTTTCTCGTAATTAGTGAATAGTACATCCTACTAAAAAAAAAAGTTTTTTATTTCAAAAATAATACATGTCCATTACAGAAAACAAAAATGGGGAAAAAAATCGCATGTAATTCCACCACCTGGAAAGACGCACTTTTAAAGCTGTTTTTCTGTATAAAAATATTTTGAAGATAAAAATGGCAAAAACTTTTGTAAATTTTTCCCCACTTAATTATGTCATGTTGATAAATATTCTAATACATTTTTTTTAATTGATGTTTTAATAGTTTTTAACATTGTGAAATTTGGGGTTGTACATTTTTGTTTGTCCATCACCATATATATGACTCCCTTCACCCCTTGTGCCCACCCCCCACCCCCATTGCCCCTGGTAACCACAATACAGTTTTCTCTGTCCATGTGTTGGTTTATATTCCACATATGAGTGAGATCAT